TCGACTAACTGAAATAGATGAAAAATTAAGCACTCATTCTAGAGGTACGGTGTCATTTACATCATATCTAGCTAGCATGGTGAGGATTGTTTATATTTTTTATAATGGACTTTAAATTTTTATATTTATATTGTCTAATATTTTTTGTTTGTTGATAGCAAGAAAAAGCAGGTGAAAAAAAACCTTTATGGGATAATGTGTTTTCGGTGTTACATCAGAGTGTCAAGAAGCTTGAAACCTTTATAGATAAGTCTAAAAAAGTTGTTGTAAGCATTTTTTATGTAATTTAATTATTATTTAAAATTAAAATGAATTTATTATTATATTTAATTTTATTGTAGGAGAATTACAACAATAAAAAAAATGATTTCAAGATATGGAACTAATCGGGAAAACCATTCTTCATTTGATGGAGTAACTTGGTGTGTGGCTATAAAAGGAGTTACAAAAGGTATAATATATGGTGTACCTAGTATGCGGAAATCCATGGTTAGCATGAGTGCTTCATCACAATCCTATACGATAGAGTCAACACTTCCTAACTCATCAATTTAAACATTAAAAGAGCAAATAAAGGAAAGAGATTGTCATATTTTATCACTACAACAAGAGATGACTTCAATTAAAAAATTTCTTAGTAATATAGGACACCAAGCTTGGACATCAAATATGGATCAAGGTATGTCAACACCTATGACTTCATCTATGCCGTCACATGTGGCTCCATTGATGTATTCCTTATCTAATCCAGTATATCGACCGAGGTCTCGACCATCATGTACTGATCCCACCTTATGATAGTCAGCAATGTTTTGGTTCATTTCCACCACCACTCCTATTACCACCTTTATGATAGAATATATTTATTAAATTGTGAATTATCTATTTTGATGTAAATTTAATGAGATTTAGAAATTTATGGTGAAATTTATTTTTATTTGACTTATTATTTTTTATAAAATAATTTCTAGTGTTAATTTATGTTTTTTATATATTTATCTATAATTTTAGAAATAGCCATAAATAATTAAAAAAATTCAATAAATGAAAAAAATAATTTTAAAAAATCATGTTTTAAAAAATATTCATTGAACAAATCAGCAACGGATTAAAAACAAAGTTTTCATTAATAATCATTAACAAATCAGTAAGGTGTATTAGTAATGAAATATCTATTGTTTATTTAGACATTTAGCAATAAATAATTTGTTATTAAACAAATCAACAATTACTGATAATTTGTTATTTAAAAATTAGCATTATTAGTTGTATATAAAATTATTTATTACTAATTCTATTCCTGAGTTTTATTGACAAATAATTTTAATATTATCTGGAATGAAATAGATTGTTACTAATAGGTTTATTTTATAGTAGTGTGTAGATGACCGTCTCTACCAACCATATCCCAATTTCAGAAACGCAGGAGGGTCGCTCCATAGCAACTGCACTGTTAAATCATAAATGGGTCGTTAGCAACTGCACTGATAGCATTAAAGAATACTGCACACGGAAGTACACGTGGGGGCAACAGCTAGCATTGGAGCAGCTAAGGCAGTGTATTTAGCGACTAATGGTGTTTCCTTTCTTTACTTTTTCCTTCCTTTCCTTTCTTTCAAAGATTGAATAAATCATGGCCATAAATAACCGCCACAAAAGACAAATTTAAATTCTCAAGGACGGTTGTGTCCTTGACACCGCTGTAACTAACAACAATTTCCTTGTTTTCCGACAGCAGGGAGAGGAGAGCGGGGCAGTCATTAATGCCACTGCATTGAATTCACTGAAAGATAAAGAAGAAGAAGAGCACGTAGATCATTTCGTATGGACAGACCCTCTTATTTTATTGAAATACTTCATCTCAATACTCATTTTTAGATTATTTTTTGATTTATATATTTTTTAAAAATAAAAAAATATTATTAAAAAATATAAACAATAAAAAAAGGACGTCAAAGCATCTAAAAATAGTTAAACATTAGTAGAAGAGATTAAAAAATTTAAAAATTAAAATTTAACAATATTTTGTTAAATGAGAAAAGCATTGTTGACAAAAAAAAATTCAATTTGAGTAAGAAAAGTTCAAAATCAGATATTTATGAACTTAATTAAATTTTATTAAATATTTAATTGAATTTATGGAGAGTTAGATTGTAAGAAAAATTGATTTTGGAATCAATTTGGGTTTTAATTAGAATAAATTAAAATTTTGGGGTCACATTATAATTTTTGAAAGTTAATTTGGACAAATTAGGTCAAATCAGGGACATAATTGTATAAATATTAAAGTTTGATGGTCAATTAGAAACTTAATTGAAGAAATTTGAAACCAAAAACCAAAATGAAAAATACGTGTAAATAGAGGGGTTATAATTAAAACTGATCAGGAGCCTAATTGAAGAAATCAAAAGTTTATTGATTAATTAAGGATCAAATTGCATGCATTCTAGACCAAAGACTAAAGTGAAAAAAAACAGTCAATTTCAAGGTCGCTGTTGGATTTTTGACAAGGATGTCTTCATCTCAATACTCATTTTTAGATTATTCTTTGATTTATATATTTTTAAAAAATAAAAAAATATTATTAAGAAATATAAACAATAAAAAAAGGATGTCAAAGCATCTAAAAATAGTTAAACATTAGTAGAAGAGATTAAAAAATTTAAAGATTAAAATTTAACAATATTTTGTTAAATGAGAAAAGTATTTTTGACAAAAAAAAATTCAATTTGAGTAAGAAAAGTTCAAAATAGATATTTATGGACTTAATTAAATTTTATTAAATGTTTAATTAAATTTATGGAGAGTTAGATTATAAGAAAAATTAATTTTGAAATCAATTTGGGTTTTAATTAGAAGAAATTAAAGTTTTGGGGTCACATTATAATTTTTGAAAGTTAATTTGGTCAAATCAGGGACATAATTGTATAAATATTAAAGTTTGATGGTCAATTAGAAACTTAATTGAAGAAATTTGAAACCAAAAACCAAAATGAAAAATACGTGTAAATAGAGGGGCTGTAATTAAAACTGATCAGGAGCCTAATTGAAGAAATCAAAAGTTTATTGATTAATTAAGGGTCAAATTGCATGCATTCTGAACCAAAGACTAAAGTGAAAAAAAACAGCCAATTTCAGGGCCGCTGTTGGATTTTTGACAAGGATGCAATTGAATCGATTTTTAAAATCAAAATTAAAATTGAGGACTTGATTGAACAAATTACAAATTGAGGACCAATGTGAAATTTAACATATTTTACCGTGTTTTCCTTTTAAATGAAATAACATGTTTTGACCAAATCAGCGTCATTTCATATATTCTTCATTAAAAAAAAACATAACCCCGAAACAATACTGTTTTAAATGGCATCATCATCTTCTTTCCCTGGACATGCACAGAATATGGGAAGAAGATTTTTTTTTTTTCTTTTTTGTTTCTCATTGACTTCTTTCCCCCAATGACTTCAAAAAGATGCAAAAAAAAACATAACCCAAAAACAAAACTGTTAAGGGGGCGGGGGAGGGGCAGCAACACAGTGGCCGCCCTAGCCACGTCTTCCTCCCCTCTTTTTGCCTATAAAAACAGGGGGAGGGGAAGAAAGAAAGGACCCCAAAAACAAAAGAAAAAAATAAAGTAAAGGGATCGAAAGAGAGACAGGGGGCCAAGAAAAGAGAGAGAACAGAAAAGAGAAGAAAAGGAGAAGAAGAAAAAAGAAAAACATAAGAAAAAACAAAGAAAACAAAGAGAGAAGCAGAAGCAGCGCTGCCAGTCTAGCCATTGTCTCCACCGCCGTGAGCCGCCGCTAACAACAACAACCACGCCTCCTCTTGCCAGGTATGTCTCTTTCCTTCTCTGCTCCGCCCATTTTCATGTCAGACTGGTGTTGGCCTATTTTGTTGTATGTTAGGCCGATGTTGACCCATCATTTTTTATGTTGGGTCGTGCTGGCCTATTCCAAATAAATACATCATAAAAATACAAATTTGGTATTAAAAAACCATAGGCCGATGCTGACCCATCATTTTTTATGTTGGGTCGTGCTGGCCTATTCCAAATAAATACACCATAAAAATATAAATTTGGTATTAAAAAACCGGATTTTCATCAAAACTACCAAAAATACAAACAAAAAAATAGAAAAAAATATTTTTGTGCATGCGGTCAAGTTTCTCAAAGCTAAAAAATCATATTGTGTTTTTTATATGCCAAAAAAACAATGTTTCAGCATGTATTTTGGCTTTAATAACCAGTTTATTGAAGTCGAAAGAATATTGGCCAAAATTTCAAAAAAACAACAAAAAATTTATTTTATTTTGTTTTAGTATTAGGGATTATGAATTTATACATAAAACGTATTCCCGTTATGAAAAAGTTATTTGTTTTTATTAATGACATAGAACAGTTAGATTTTTACTCGATAAGATAAGAATCTCCTTACAGAGAAGAAATTTTCTTAAACTTTAGAAAGACCAACAATTAAACACCACAACATGACCTTAAATTTTATTACATAAAACAATGCATTTTATCTTGAGTAAAGTGTATTTGATATACTAATATCTTCTCTTTATACCATTAGTCTCTATATCCTATCTCTAAGATCACTTTTAATTTCTAGTAACCAGAATATTACGTATTTTTTAAACTTTAGATAAACCAACAATTAGACACCACAACATGACCTTAAATTTTATTAAATAAAACAATGCATTTTATCTTGGGTAAAGTGTATTTGATATACTAATACCTTATCTTTATACAATTAGTTTCCATATCCTATCTCTAAGATCACTTTTGATTTCTAATAACTAGAATATTCCGTGACATCTTCTATTTTAATTTTTTATTAATAAAACATAAAAATTCTTTATTCTTTCATATTTTATCAAAAATACATCATTTTATTTTTCTTAAAATAAATGATTGTCACACCACTACACACTGACAAGAATTTATGAAGGTCGATAGCAGTGTGGTATTTCACAAGCACAGGCACTCATCAAAACCCACTGAAATGGCGATAAACAAGGTTTTCTCACTTAATTTACACAATCAAGCATCTGTGACTTATTTTTAATTATTAAGCGACACCATTACGAGCACAAAGCATTAGACAGGACTCAGCGGCCTTCTGCTATAGGAACGCTGTGCAGTACAACTGTGTCCACGGTGATGCCTGCCCCTAATCCAATCAGCACACCCCACTCCATCCCCTCTCCGGTCGTGGTCTTTCTTTTCTCTAACGACCTTCTCCTGATCTCATCTAGAATGAAGAGCACAGTTGGGCCACCCATATTTCCAAACTCTCTTAGCACATGTCTAGTTGCTGACAATTTTTCTTGTTCCAGACCAACTTCCGCTTCAATCAAATTGAGAATTGCTGCACCACTCGGTTGTACAATCCAAAACAGTGAGTTCCAGTCACTGACACCAATTGGACCAAATGCTTCTACCAAGCACTTTCCAATATTTCGAGAGATCAACTCGGGCACATTCCTTGAAAAGTGAACGGTTAGACCCACTTCACGCAGGTGTCCTTTGATTCCACCATTTGAATCAGGAATGATTGTCTGTGATGCAGACAGAATCTGGAACAATGGTCGTTCAACTGACATATCAGGATCAGCACCAATGATCAAAGCAGCTGCACCTTCACCAGTAATTGCTTGGCCTACCAGGCAAGATATGTTGTCATTAGAAGGCCCCCGGAAAGTACCCACAGTGAGATCCGAGGACACAACAAGAACACGAGCACCAGCATTGTTTTCTGCAAAATCCTTGGCAATGCGAAGGGTGGCTGCACCAATATTACAGCCCTGGTGATACAGCATGATTCTCTTGATGGATGGTTCGAGTCCAAGGAGCCTGGTAAGTTGATAATCTGCTCCTGGCATATCTATGCCAGCAAGTGCAGAGAATATGAGGTGTGTGATGTTGGATTTAGGTTGCCCCCACTCTTCAATAGCTTTTTGTGCTGCTTCCATTCCAAGTTTGGGTACCTCTGTCACTAGCACGTCTTGGCGCACATCGAGAGAGGGATCATCATAGGAACACATGGTTGGGTTCTTGTTGAGGATTTCTTCAGTGAGGTGGAAGTGACGTTTCCTTACTTCTGATTTCTCACCTGTAAGCGTATCACATTAGTAGCCATTTGATGATGTACCCTCCACATTTATGGAAGATAGAATCAGCAAGTTTACAACCCTAGCAAGCTGTTATCCGAAAACAGCATGCACGTAATCTGTTTAGATCTTACGGTCATATATATTATTGTTAAGGATCAGCAAGCAGTCAGGTCAAAACAACCTGTCACTGTAATAGCTGGAAAAAAAAAATGGACAAGTCAATCGTAAACATTCACTTGTAAGAGCTGCAAGCTCCCCTGCATTTCTTGCTCAATCATGATATGCTCAGTTTCCATCACATTAATAACTTACATAAGCGCTTGAACTTGCCCTTCAAGTCAGTCATGTGCTCGCTCCTGGTGACTCGGAAATAATAATCTGGGAAGTCAGCCTGGTAGATAAAATTAGCTGGATTTGCAGTGCCAATGGCTAGAATTGTGGCTGGACTCTGTGCTGCTTGAGCACCTTGAGATGTCTGATCTGAAGCCATTGTTCATCACTTGATTTGTGTGAGTTTGCTCAAGCTCAAAGGGTAAATAGAATTAGCGTTATGCATTGAATTTAAGGACCCGTTTGACATTCAAGCACAACTGCCATTCAAGCGTCTCATGCTCAGTTAAATGGTCTAAAACCAAAAGCGTGGGACAAGATAATCTCCATACTTCTGACAAAAAGATTGACAAGTTTTGACCACCCAACCACATCTTTTAATGAGCTGTTGCGATAATTTTGCCTCCTGCTGCAAGGAAGGAGGGGGTGCCTGCCTGGTGTCTGGATAATTTTGTTATCTTCTCCCAGCATGACTGGATGACTTTCTCGAAAAACGACAACCTAATGAAATTAATGTGTACTGAATCACGTGTTTCACAGCAGTCTTTAATAGCTGACGGCCTGAATTCAATGCGTTTTTTCACGTATTGTTTTTATATTGTAGAAGTATTTTATTTTAATTTATTTTAATTTATTTTTTATTTTAAATTAATATTTTCTTAAATGTTGCTTTAATATATTGATATTAAAAATAATTTTTAAAAATAAAAAATATTATTATAATATATTTTTAAATAAAAAATATTTTAAAAAATCATAACTACACACTTTCAAATATCAACTAAGTCTAATAATTATAATTATTGGTTTTTAAAATGTTTTTGATTTAAAAATATATTAAAATAATATTTTTTTTAATTTTTAAAATTTATTTTAATATTAATACATTAAAATAATTTAAAAATAAAAAAAATATATTATTTTGAAAAAATATTTTTTAAAAAATAAACATACCCTCAGTGTCTCCGTGTCTGCGACTAATGTTTTTTCATTCCATCTTAACTAAAATCAACTCCATGCTATCACTCAGCACGTTGTACGGGACATCACACGTCAGCGCAGATGAGTAGACTAGATTTTATAAATTTCTTGGTCAAAATAAATACAAATCACTTGACATGGAGGCAAATCAACGGGGCCTTAGCTGGTACGATGCAGTTGCATTAAAATTTAATTGCCAACTAGTCTCGGCAAAAATATTGTTTTTCAAGTTTCTTTTATCATACTTGCACTGTTCTTATTAAAAACAATTAATATATAACAAGTGAGAAAACAAATATTTAGAAAATAATATATTTTAAACTCAGTAATTAGTAAAAAAAATACAGTTTTATTTAACAACAATTAATAGTGATGGAGTTTGTAAATAACTGTTATTACTATGTGTAGTTATATTAATCAACTATTAATAACAATAGCAGCTGTGAAGAGACGCTATATAATCGCTAATAATAATTATATTATAACTAATGAAATATAGGTTTAATAAATATATTAAATTCAAAATATTTAAATTTAATAGTCTACATAACCTAAGATAAATAGGAAATAATATTATGCCTAAAACACTTTTCTTTGAATTAATTTTATAATAGCCAGAAAAACCTAACAATTCTTTTTTAAACTGTTACAACTCTTTAATTTTATAACAATTTTTTATTTTTTAATTATTGTAACAATTTTTTAATTTTTAATTTATTTTATATCTAATTGATATATATTAGCCGTTTATATATATCATATACTTTTACAGTCAAAACATGCTCGAAAAAAATATAACATTATTTTTCTGTGTTTATAAGATTTGTTGGTATTTTTTTTTATCTTAATTATTATTTTAATAACTCTAGTCGTTAGAGGAGAAACTTGTTGGGTTTTCAAAAATAATCTTGAGGAAATATCATTAAAAATAGTGTATGTAGGCATCCCAAGGTATAGTTTATTTTTGTTCATTGCATCTAATTTTACAACAAAATAATCATACAAAAAAGCATTTTTTAATTAAAATTTTTTATCCTATTAATATGATTTCTTTATTGGCAATTTTTTTATAAAAAAAATTATAGAATAATAGAAGCAAAATTTAATTTAATAAAAAATAATATTTTCATCATTATGTCGCGGATGTATTAAAAAATACAACATCAAACCTTTTGGATTCTATTTTTTATGTAATCATGCAGTAATAAAACAAATTGTGCAAAAAATGCAGAAAAAAATTAAGAAAAAAACAACTACAAATCACAAAGGGCTGTAAAACAAATGCCTGATAGTTTTATAAGAAAAATATGTTTTTTTATTCTTAAACTATTTAAAATTTACTTATTTTCATGAAACTTAATTATAAATAATAATAATAATAATAATAAAAGCATTATGGCCGAAGATATAGAGGCCAAGCACGTCTAGCTCACTTAAAGAAAAAGCACAAGCACGGGTCAAGCTCAAGCGCGTGGCCTTTTTTATCTGGCAAAAGAAGTGAACAAAATGTTATCAACCCCTTTTTAAAAAATAAAATAAAAGGAGACGATGCATTTGTCTATATACCCAGTTTTCTACTTGATGGTTAGAAAATCAAGCTCGGTTTTTTTTTAATTTAAAATTTTATTTTTTTAATTTATTTTTATTTATTAAATATTTTTATTGTATCAATAAACATATCTTTTTACTTAAAATTCCTTTAAATCATTTCAAAATAGAAATTCAAATGGAAAAATAACTTCTCTCTTAATATTAATCAACTTTTTATAACACGATGAATATCTAGAAAATTTTAATAGAACTCTTTTTATTAAAAATTATATTAATATCAAGATTATTTTTTTATTTTTAAAATATAATTAATTAATAAATTTCTTTTCTCTACATTGTTTTACTACGAGTTTCTCTTTTTTCTTTTAAAATCATGGATTAAAAATAAATAAAATAAATTTTCAAATCAAAATTAAAATTTCAAAAACTAAATTAAGTGAATTAAAGGAGAAAAGAAATCAAGCGTATAGAAAAGTATTTTTTATATATAAATTTAAGATTGGTTATGTATTTTATTTGTTATATTATATTATGATTTTTTCTCTTTTAATTTTATTTTTTTATCATAATTTAAAATTTTATTACAAAAAATTAAATAAAAAATGTTTAATTAAAAAGAAATATGTACCAACAAGGGAAAAAAAGAAAAAGGGGGGGAGCGAGCAGCTTCGGCCACCCCAATTCTATTAGTATATGTGATAATGTCAGTGCTTCTATTTAAATGGGTTTTTGAATCAGCATATCCCTTTTATTTTATTTAGAAGGGACAAAACTGGAGATTGGACCTACCTTGATCACACACTGCTTTCCTAGCCATGTCTAGTCAACACTGCACTCATGAACAGATATGCGTGTGGTTGTTTATTTGGTCTTGATATTTTAACTTGGATTAAGAGCATCAAGTTTTATGTCTTAATTTCATTTTGGAATGTGTGCACGAATCTTCTTCTTCTCCTTCTTCATTCATTTAACATTTTTTTTTAAAATAAATCTAGAGATAATTACAAAAAAAAACCTTTTATGATTTATTAAGTTCATAAATTTATATCATTTTTACATCCTCATCTCTGATGAATCCAAAAAAAATCAATAGAAAATATAAAATTATTATTATATTTTATTTAATGACTAAAGAATTCTTGTAATGTTAATAATTATAATTTTTTCACCAAACTAATATTATAACTTTGTTAAAAATTAGAAAAATAGTAAGAAATTTATAGTGGTATGTCATCGAGCACTGTGGATGACAAATTAACCCCACTCTCATGACACCCATTTGGATTTTGAATAGCACAAGATCAAGAACATTGGTTCTGAAATAAAACTTTCAACGATACTCTCTCTTTCTCATCTTTAATCTTCTAATTTTTTGGTACAAGCACCACGTCACTCAGATCCATGCTTATGATTTGACCTCCATTAATGTTCATTTCACAAACAATGAATCAAGCCATCCAATGTGATTTTATGCAAATCTTTTCGTGAAATTGTTGGCATTTGAGAAAGACTCAAGCTTTACTTCTTGAAAAATAATACTTCGGCAACAAGACAAAAGAACTATGACCTTACCTGTAAAAACAATCAGTTGGATTCATAAAACCCATTATTAGCAACAAATTCCCCATGAACTTGGACTTGTCTCTGGCCGTCTTTCAACACCATGCGGTGGTTCTTTCTCTGAATTTGCAGTGTAGACAAAAACATCTATGCGTAGGAGATTAGATTTACCAATGGGGTTGCTAGCGCTGGGTGTTTCAAGACTTTTATGGATCTGCAGTGGAGATAAAAGCGTCTTTCAACACCCTACTTCTGGATCTTTCAACGTCATAGCAAGGGATAACATTCTTTTTTCAATTTTTTTTTTGGGGGAGAAATGAAGGGAATGGAAGATCTGAAATTGTTTTGGCTAAAAAGAGAGAAATCGCGTATTGAGAGAGAATTTATTGTATGAGATATTTTTAATATATTATATCTCATGGTATTTTATTCATATCATTCAATTTAAAAAAATTTATTTACTGTGGATATAAAATGTAATTTCTAAAAGAATGGAGAAAAAATAGAGTTTTTTTTTTAATGTAGCACGATAAGAAAAATTAAGAAAATAGCATATATAAAAAAATTATATAATTTAGATAATTAAAGATGATATTTGTGACTCTTGAGTCATATGAGTCACTAATGACTCATTTAAATGGTAAAATACTAGGATACAAATTATAATTAAAAAAAAAAAAGAGATGAGAGAGAGAAAAATAAAGTTAGAAAAAAAAGACTTTAAAGAAATACTGAACTCTAATAATGACATCATTAGTATTGTAAAAAAATATTTTAACAAGATATATCCAACGACATATAGGAAGGATGCCAACAATTATTGGAGTGGGTCACATAAATTGTCCAAAGATATGGGTAGCACACTTGCCTTTGGACGACTCGTGTAACCTGCTCTAATCACCATTAATAAGATGTTATTAAATTTATCTCATTAAATTTTTTTTAATAGTACCGATGATGTTATTATCAAGTTTCGATGTCTTTAAAATCTCTTTTTTTTTCTTTGTTTGTTTTTGTGTCGCTTTTCTCTTCTTATTATAATTTGTAAAGAGAGAGAAAATAAAAAGTAATGAAAAAAATCTCGTAGGTATACCAAAACTTCAATGATAATATTACTAGTATCATTAAAATAATCTTGACGAAATTAATTCAAGATCATCATTGGTAATCAAAGTGGACCACTTGAAACTTTTGGTCTGCTTGTGTGGTTCATTTTGATCACATTGATAATATTTTCTAATATTATTAAATTTATCTCATCCAAAAAAAATTAATTATTATAATTATAATTAGAATTTTAATATTGGTTTTTTTTCTCTCTCTCCTCTCTAAACGTGTAACTCGTCTCTAAACATGTAACTCGCTCGTGTCATTTGCAATTTTACATTATGTTATTTTTATAAATATTTCTCTAACCGAGATATTATAAAAAAATACTAAAAAAATAAATAAGCTAGAGAAGGTTTTTTAATAAATTATCCCATGAAACCATCATAGCTAATGAATGATCTATATCTGCAGCGCACTAGGTACATAGGTCTGTTTTTTGCAGTCGGAGGAGCTTTGCTAGCGAATCCATTTGGGATAAAACGAAAATCTATAGCACCCCTTGTGTTCTTTCGTACGACAGGTACAATGCTTGAAATTATGATGGGGCCAGTCAATGTGGAAGAGAACATGCAGAATGCCAAGCAAGGCTACTAGAACCCAAGAATGCAGGAGATGAATATTTTGCAGAAACAGGATCCGAGTCTTGATCTCTAGCCCGCACAGCCATGAACCTCGTGTTGGAGAGCTGTTAGCCCGTTGAACTTGTTTGGCACCAGAGAGAGATGGTGGATTGGATTCTCCTTCTATTTACTTTCTGGTGATTCCGATATCAGCTTCTTGCATCCCTGATTTTCACTTTGAAGTTAGCTGATAATGATGTAAATTCACATTTGCGTTCAGCCACGGTGGCTTCATTTTTAATAAAAACGGGGGTTTTCTCAGAAGCTATTTCATCGCTCTCAAAAAAATAATAATAAACAAAAAGAATTCACTGGTGTGTGAAGCTGCAAATGTTTCAAAGGGACTCTCACCTTCTTCATGGAGTCTTTCTCACCTTCTTCATGGAGTCTTTCTGCTTCATCCTCCTCCCTTACAAGCCAACGCCTTCACTACGGAGAGTAGTAGAATATGGCTCAGAGATGCACTTTACAGGATCATATGAAGAAGATCCCAATGACTTTCTTCTCTCTTTTTTTTTTTTTTTGGTACGAAGGCCCCTATGACAGTAAGCTACTACTGAATGTTGCAGAGTTTGTAGAGTCTATGATTACACGAAAAGGAATATCGGATCCTCTAACTAGCAAAGTACATATACATCAACCAGAGAACAATTTGTTTCTGGCGCATGGAACTGAAACAGAAAGCATTTCAAACTTCCCGTGTTCGGTATCTAGGCTGGTGTTCACAGTTGCCTCAAATTTCAAGGGACTATTCTTTCCCTGCTGCAACAATATCTTTAGAAGAACCAACCAAATCAAATGAAAGTTAGTGTTTTTATTGTGGTGGTTTTTCTCCTTAACTTCTAGGCTCTTATCTGCATCTGATGAGCAAGAACCCACTAATCCTTTCTTTACAGCTTCAGGATTATTCTCCCGGCAAAAATATGCCTGGTTGGAATTATGACTACGGTTTTGTCCTCTAAAGCATGAGTAGACTCTTTCAGCCCTGATGTTTCCAAACAGCACTACTGCAGCCTTGTTTCTTACGAGGAGTGGCAGGTATTCTGATTCATCCCAGACATATAACTGCGGTGAAGAAATACTCTGACATGATTATGGTAAAACAATGCAATGGAAAAATAAATCTGATGCAGAAGATCATAATCAGCAAGATATTGATTTCAAGATGATCCAAGACATACAAAGATAAGAACAGATAAACTTGTTCCTAAAATACTTGTTTTATTGGAAATCTTGAAAACAAGAAAATCTATCACGCAGACAGAGACAACACCAACCATATAATGAGGGAAAAAAGCAGAATGACTAGAATAGATGGATGGAATATCATCAAGCAGTCTGAATGTGCAGTGCTGTCATCATTTCAATATGAACGAGAGCATTGCACTTATCGAGACAAGAGCATGAACAAATCCATACCATAAAGGGCCTGTAAATCAAGGTTACTGCATGAAGGTGATTTGGGCTTTTCGAGCAATAGAGTGAATTATTGTTTTGCTTGCATATAGACCTGTAGCAACCAGTAAATTATTCAGTAGTCCAATTCATGTTCAACTTTCCATACAGGAAATAATTGCAATATGGCAGTTTCAATTTTCCATACCCGTTCTCTGAAACCAAAGGAGAACCACACAAGTGACAGCCAATACAAATAAAATCTTCTGCTAAACTATTATCTTTATCTTCCATTGTCCTCCTGCTGACAAACATCTTTTCCTTATCAGAGTCATCAAGAGCTCTCCAGGTAATTGGTAGGAAAATTTCACCAATTGATGCGTTAAAAATTGCATTACACGAATTACTTAGGCCCAATACTTCTGAAAGCAAGAGCAAGTTCTGAGATTCACTCTGTTTTGGCAATTTCAAGTTCCTCGGTTTCTGCCATGCAAGTTGTTTCAGTAATTACTCAAATGAGCATACAACTAGCCAACAGTACCAATACAACTTAAAGGCTTAGAGATGCAACTGTTGTGATAAGAATGCAACGGTATAGAAGTGTTGCTTATGAGATTCATTACCTAGTGTACAGCTTATTCCTTTTCAACAAAATCTGAGATGAAAAGGGATGACTTTGTTGCAAGTTCCTCATGGATTATTTGGTCATTTTATGGAATTGTTTTGCCAAAAGTCAGCTCCATTTCTAAGGTTAACTAACAGATTTTTAACAGAAGGTGGAAATTGCAATCATAAGAAACCACGAGAATGAAAAGTTTAAGGTTTTGAAAAAACAAAATGCAAAGTGCAATGACATCCAAAATAGAGGATGACACGGGCAATTAACATGGAAAAAAAAATTCCTAAATGACTGAAATGGCATAAACAGCAACAACAACTCTGTGACCATGACATTTTCTCAATTAATAATAAAGTGGCTTGGCATGACCAGCAAAAAGATCACTTACAATGGGAAGATTAGAGCACATGAAAAAGAAAAGACATTAAACACAACTTATCCACAACACAATCATTAAAAGAGTCTTTATTCGATTTAAACAATAGAGACCATGATTTTATTGGATTCAAATTCCCCAAGCAACATATAAGATTAGGCGTAGTTAAATGCAATGTAACGAAAGCTACAAAACAAGAGAGCAAAGACATTACCACAAAACTGTGTGACCCGATTGTGTTAATAGCTCGCTGCACCCATTTTATTACCTCCACAAAACTGTGTGACCCGATTGTGTTAAGAGCAGATCTAGCTCGCTGCACCCATTTTATTACCCTGCAAAGCTTTTCCAACGTTGTTTTCCCTACTTGAGATTCCTCTATTAACTCATCTACACCTACATACATATTCATTATTTAGAGAAGCCCAAAAGACGAGTTGAACATTAATAGAATAGCCTCCGTTTTCATTTCCTCTTAATTCTAAGCAGTTGTGATGTTCAAAATTTGAAAGTCCAAAATATGAATCCAAGATTCCATTCCAAATATCCGGGGCAAAGTGCAGGGTTAACACTGCCAAGCAGAAAAGCGAAGCAAAATGAAGTACCTTTTGAGAGAAGTGATCCATAAGGATGGACTAAACTTACTAACGATGACCACTCGACCGTTCTGGCCTCAACGGCATGTCCAAATTTAGTGATCTTCACATCTGAATTATCCCAAAGATTATAACAAATAGCAAAAATCAACAATTTATGTGATTATCACCGCTACAAGTTTAAGAAATGAGCGAATCAGAAATTCCAAACATTGATACTTTATCGAAATATGGAACAAAATTCCAAAGATATGAGCGAAATTTCCCATCGATAAAGAATCAATAGAGCAGAAACGCAATCCCCAATTAATCTTGTACATATTATGAAAATTGAAGCAAATTGCAAAAAAAAGGGTGTCCTTGCTTACTTTGCAACAGTAAGATATCACCGGCAACAACCATGGTTCCCATCTGCTTTTTCCACAACGATACGGAGAAAAATGGCAGCGTATCATCACCAACCTGAATGTCTGTCCTGATTACTTCTCCACCTTTTGATAATTTGTACTGCATGATTCGAAACCAGAAACCAATAATGTAAGGAGGCGAACATTTATAATTAATAAAAGGAAATGTAAGGTAATACCTGAACGGGAGTGGAGCGGTGAACAAAGACGAGAAGCTGAACGATATCGCCGATGTGATGATCGGTTTTGCAGAGATCAACTAACGGACCGTACCATCCAATTGCAGACGTCATGTCTCGTAGAACAATCAATGAACCAGATTGATTGTTTTCCTCCGACCAGGACAACTTTTGGCGCGCTCTCGATTTCATTTAGGGCTCCTGGGAGTTTTCTGCTCTTTTGGGCAGCGTGCCGTGATGTATCACGGGTTATTTTTTTTTGGTATAAAAAATATAAAACAAAATTAAGATTCAAAAAATATTTATTTGCAAAATTAGATATAAAAGTATTGGATTTGGTTGGAAGATTGAAGAATAATATTTATAATATTAATTATAATATTAATAGTAATATTTTTAATATAAATAATAATATTAAATTTATTTTATTCAAGTTTTTATAATTATTTTATTTTTTAAAATAAATTTATAGTAATAATATTTTTTAAAAAAATTTATTATTGATAATAATGATGATAATAATAATAATAATAACAATAAAAATAATATTAACTATTATAAAATTGGGTTAGTCACCCTAGCCAGACCCAAGTTTATAGGGTCTGATTCCCTAATAATAATAATAAAAAAAATATTAAATTTATTTAACTCAAGTTTTTAAATAAGAATAATAATATTAAACTTATTTAACTCAAGTTCTTATAGTTTTTAATAGTAATAATATTTTTTAATTTAATAATAATAATAATATTAAAAATAAAAATAACACTAATAATAATAATAATAACAACGATGATGATGACAAAAACAATAACAACAATTTTAAATTTTACCCTTCAAATCAAATTTATGATTTTTTTCAATAGTAATATTATTTTTTTCAAATTTATTAATAATTATATTAATAATATTAATAATAATAACAAAAATAATATTTATAATATTAATAATAATATTAAACATGTCTCACTCAAGTTCTTATAGTTTTTAAATTTACCATTCAAATTAAATCTATGGTTGTTTTTTTAATATTAATAATATTTTTTAAAATTTATTAATTATTATATTAGTAATATCCATTCTAATAAAAATAATAATATTTATAATAAAAATAATAATATTTTTAATACTAATAATAATATTAAACTTGCATTATCCAAGTTTAAATGAGTCTGACTACAACGTCAGGTCCAAAAGTCTTAGGTCTAGCTACGATATCAGATCTAAGAATTTTGAATATAAATCTGGCTACAAAGTTATATGATAACTAAATAACAAAAAACTTAATATTAAATAAAAAAATTAATTAAAAAAACAAAGCAAAGTATTGAATAGTGTTTTGCAAGGAGGGATACAATAAAATCCCCTCATAAGATCATGATAATCTAATGAAAAATATAAAATAAATCATGAAATTTAATTCTTAATTAAATTGATACTAAAATATAAAATTGAAAAAAAAACTAATTAAAACAAAGAAAAAAATCTAAATCAATTAGGTTAATTTGTCAAATCTAAAACTTGTTTCTTAAAAATATGATAACTAAATAGAAAAAAAAATTAATTAATTAAATTAAAAAAAACTAAAAAAAATCAATAACTAAAATTTGTACAATATAATCTATAGTGAACGATTGATCACATTTAGTTATAGTTAATAATTGGCATGTCGTCCTTTTTAGTTATTGCTCGCACGAGATTTTTTCTCTTTTTCAAATGTTACACCGTTAACACCTTCCTTTTTTCTTAAAAAAAAAAATTTTAATTTAATTTTATTTTTAGATTTTTTTTAATTTATTTAATCATTTTGTGGCCCAATATTAAAATTAAAATTATAGTAGAAAAACAAAACTAAAAATGAGAGGACCATAATATAAACACACATAAAAAAAATACATGATTAATTTTAAAGTTTTTATAATTTTTATTTGGGGTTAAAATTTCATTTTAAATCTTTGAATTTAAAAGAAAAAGTCATGGAAAAAAAGAAACAAAGGAGAGAAGGTTATCAATTGATTTCTTACTGAGAACACAAATGAGCAATTTTGTATTAAAGGTTTCATTTAACGAGAAAAATTTAATTATTATAATTACTTCTTATAAGAAAATTATATTAAAGTCTATTTAGATTTTTTTTATTCAGTTGTTTTTTATTTGTTTTCATGATTTTGGGATGTTTTAAGATTGGTGAGTGAGGTTTTTATGATACTTTTAATGTGTTTTTAAGTAAAAATAGATGGAAATAATTTTTTAGGCCAAACCCCCTTCATTTTTCGACAACCATGGTGACAACTAGATTTTATGCAACAGTCTAATAGACAACAAGTCATCTGTAACTTCAGGCAACATATTAATTAATTTCTTAAAAAACAAACAAAATAAAAAAAATCAAATGAAGTATGGGCTTCCAAGCCTAGTCACATCTAAGTTTTTTAATTCAAGTTTTTTAATTCAAGCTATGCCGATGCGACTAACTATTTTTTTTAATTTAAATTTAACTTGTTAAAATTAGGTAATTTAAAATATTATAAATGTATTAAATTATTAAATAAGAATATTTTTTTTTATCAAATATCATTTAATTTTACTTTATTTTCTAGTCATTTTATAATATTAGCAATTTTTTTATTTTGCATCTATCACTACTTTTTAAAATTTTTATAGTATTGTTTTCCTATAGTGTATATCTTTATTGTCATATAATTAAATAAAATTTATTTTAAAAAATATTGTTATTAAGTCTAATCATGTCTATAACTTAAGTCATAGTCATATAGAATTTAAAAAATTAACTTGAATTGACATAAATCAATCAAATCAAAAATTGAATTGATATAAATCAATCAAATCAAAAATAGATATGATTATCTTGATATTTAAAAAATTTATTTACATTAAATTTTAATTTTATAATTAGAAATTTACTTCCAAATAGAAAATACATCAACAATATTTACATATTTTAATTTTGATACAGCTCACAATGAAATGCAAACCAGTTATACAAAAACTAATTTTGGGATAAATGCGAGGGAGACCATCCTCACACATAAGATTAACCTATAACAATAAAAAAAATTGGAATTTCATATAATGTTTTACTGTTCATATAAGTAGTAAAACACATTAATATATTATTTTAATCATATTTTTTTTGACAAATCTAAGTCACTGCTCTAACAGTTAACACACATGATAAGCATGAGATCATAGGTTCGATTGATGAGTGGCATGTTTATGTTTCTAAATTGTGACATGACTTGTTGTTTATTATTTTTTAATAAAAAAAATAAGAGTGAACGACATGTAAAATATGACCAAGTAGACAAGCCTAGCCTAAGGCCTGTGCATACTTAGGCTTGGTTCATTGCTGACTTTTTATTTTTTTATTTGCCATTATTTGCTTTGCTTTTTTTTGGACGCTTCAAAACGCATCTATCTAATTCACTCATTTTTTTTTATTTTTACATGTTTCTTAAATACTATAATAAACTCTAATTTTAATTTTTTTTTTCAAAAATTAGTTATTTGATCTAAGAATAATAATACTAATAATAAACTATCTATGGAGATTCAATTGAATTTGACTAATCATTATTAAAATATTTAAATAGTTTTGGAACATGTTTTTATTATATTTATAATTTTTTAAGCTTTCAATCACATAAAATATGAATATACTATTTTGATATTTTTTTTAACTTGCTTTAAAAATCATAATTTTTATAAAAACAAAACAATATTTTTAATTAAAAATATTGTATTGGCTAAAATAAATAAAAGATATGCCGAAAGAAAAATTTATCTTTATAAATACAAATTATAAAAATCATAAAAACATTTCTATTTCTACGACCTAAAATATTTTTTTTATGTTTAAAAAGATTTAATTCCCCTATCGCATAGCAAAAACACACAAACTAGTTAACAAAAAACTAAAAGAGAAATATATGTTATTTTATCTCTCCTCACAAAATACTATTCACTTTAATAGAATTTTGTTTTTTTTCTTCGAATTTTTATTTTATTTTTTATTTCATTCTTGAACATTAAGTTTATTAAGAATTAGACTTCATAATTCTTTTGAATTTATTTTTTATAAAGTTATTCCAATCTTATGACATGAACTACAGGTTTGACGGGTTGATTTGAGTTTTTTTCCTTTTTCTTATTAATTTTTTTTCTCAAATTCATTCTTTAACATTGGAATAATTGAGAATTAAGCTTGTATTTTTTTTATTCTTTTTATATTATATGAGATTATTTTCATTTCATGACTCGGATCGCATGTATGGTTGGTTAATTCGAGTTTACTCAGGTTGTTTTTTATGTTTTTTTAATATAATTCTTACTCAATTTCATATGTCAACATTGAGTTGATTAAGAATTCGAGTTTTATAATTTGTTTCAATATGTTTTTTATTAAGTTATTCCGGTCTCCTAACAAAGGTTGTTGGTTTAACTTGTTAAACTAAGTTGACTTAGGTAATTGTTTTTGCTATTTTTTAATTTTATTATTTAACATTGAGTTTACTAAAAATTGAGTTTTATATTTTGTTTTGACTTACTTTATATAAGATTATTATGGTTTCATGACATAACATGTGAGTTGGCAAATTAGTCCAACTTAATCTAAATCGATCCAATATAAGGGTTTAACTATTTAACGTAGGTTGACTCGAGTAAATTTTTAATTATTTTTTTTAATTTCATGCAACATTAAGTTTACTAAAAAATTAGTTTTATATTTTATTCTGATTTACTTTATATGATGTTATTATAGTCTCATGATCTAACATGCAGATTAGTACGTTAGTCTAAGTTAATCCGTATCGATCCAATATGTTTTCATCTTGATATTATAAAAAAATATCATATTAAATATTTATTTTAAGTTAAATTATGTTTTTAATGGTCATTCAAGTTATTTTTAAACTTATTAAGTCAATTAAATCATATCGAGCCAATCCCTATATGATTTAAATTTTATTTTTATTAGAAAAAAAATATAAGCAATGCTTAATTATTAATTTTTTACATTCATAGCATAGCAAGAGCTAAAAATCTAGTAATAACTAAAAGAAAAATTGCACAATTGTGACAAGAAAAGCAAAAACTCATGGATCAAATTATGCTACAAACACATTTTCTCAATATATATATATATATATATATATATATAATATTACAAACACATCAACCCTCCAATGGCATCTCCCCAAAGAGT